GTCCGTACGACCCCCTCATTTTGAGTCTTCGCCACCTAGCCACCCCTTGCCTAGATTCTCCCAACTTCCTACCAGTTCTTCTGAAAGTTCCCGAAAGCTTTCCTACTCTTTCCCAAAAATTTTGTTGTCTCGTGCGGCGGCGGAGGACAGGGGTATGTAGTAAATGTGAAACGGAGAGACCCAAGAAAAGTTAACAAGCTCTCTCATACAACCTCTCTCACAGGGCCAGAACGCAAATACGACCCCTGTTGGGGATCCCAACGATTCTGAAGTTGTGCGTGATGTACAGCCAGACTGCACGATTGGGGGGGGGAGAGGCTACCTCTTTACTCAAATCAGCCAGGCGGCTACATGGCTTCTTTTAACCGGATGTTCTCTCGTTGCGAGGGCTTACGCGTATTTTCCCATCTCTTCTGTTAATCATTTGGAGGTAAGAAAATAAGTAGAGAGATGAGAGAAGGAAGGAACGAAAGGAAGGAGGCAGAAAGGAAAAATGAAGAAAGAGCAAGGCTCGGATGACAGATATAATGAGGGTGAGGCCAAATCAGCCAGGCTTTCCCTTCCAGAGTCGAATCATCATAAAAGAAGCGAATGGTGACCCACGAAGTGTTTTTGTCGCCTAAGCTCCCATTGAAGCGCTCTTGGGGTACATTAGGCTGCGTTTATACTTTGCGGCAGCGTAGCGTAGCGCTTCCAGCGTTTCACGAGCGTTTCGCTAGCGTTTGCAGCGGCTAGAGAGTATAGAAGAGTAGGAGAGTACAAAATACTCTCCTACTCTTCTATACTCTCTAGCCCGCTAGCGTTTGCCAGCGGCTAGAGAGTATAGAAGAGTAGGAGAGTACAAAATACTCTCCTACTCTTCTATACTCTCTAGCCCCGCCGCTGCAAACGCTAGCGAAACGCTAGTGAAACGCTGGAAGCGCTACGCTACGCTGCCGCAAAGTATAAACGCAGCCTTATGAAAGCTGAATGTGTCGTGCGTTTCTGCTCCTCAGCGCCAGACATCCACCGCTCATTGCCGCGGTGAAATGCTCCGTGGTACTTGGCCACTAAAAGTGGAACTGGTACAATATCGCAGGGTATCATGTAGCTCTGAGCCTTCCATCCTACGGAACGATAATTTGGCAGCGGTTTCATCTGGAAGGATGCCAACACTGACTTGTACGTCGGCTGGCCCCCGCAAGTCATTGTATAGGCCACATCGCATTCAATAAGCCACTACGATTCTGAATGGAAGTAGAATGCGTGCCGCATCCCAGGAGGGATTGATCAACGGCGAAAACTTCATCCTTTCATTCCATTGGCCATTAGCCGCTTAGCTGACAGAAGTTCACAAAATGCTTCTCTTGTAAAAGAAATAGCACTGAAAAGAAAAAAAGCAAGGAAAAGTGAGGGTGATAGTTGGAACTGCAATGAGAAGAATTATAAAAAGAGGCAGAGTTTGCTTGTAACAACACAGAAGGAGAAATGGCCTCAAGCAGTATATAAGCCCAGTATCGATCGATAAGTAAAGCTGATTCGATTCACTCCTGATAGCAGATGATCGGCGAAATGGTGTCATTATGTGATAACAAGCACTGAAATTACAGCCGGGGTGGGGTCCTTCTGATAAGGGTCATGGAAAATGGCTTAAGAACGGTATTTGGCAGAGGAAGCTATGAGAACAACTCTGTTGGTTAGAAAGGGTGGATTCTATGAGCTATCACCGCAATTCTTCCGCGTTTGAAATACTTGCGATGTGTGTACTCTAATCCCTTGGATGCAGCAAAACTGGCTGCATACTTCATTTGGACCTGGTGGCGCCTGCGCTTTCGGCAATATTCTAATTTCGGAACAAGTTGTAGTAAGAGATTTGCTCACTCGGCAGAGTAAGGCTACAGTTACCACAAATTGAAATATTCCATGAAAAACAATCCAGCCACGTTAAAATGAAGTACCCAGGCATATGCCACGTCTCATGGATGTAGAATGTACTATCTGGAACGCTGGGATTATAGGGTCTTATGTCCAACATCTAACCTAACATCTTGGCAACTGCCTTTGGTACAGTGAAACAAGAGCATTCAGTCTTGCTCGCTGCGCACGATGGGGCGGGTCAGGGAGATGGGTTTTGGGCTACACCAGTCCCCTCTTTTTTTTCGGCGAGCGCTAAGACTGCATCATGTCGTTCGTATAATCTTTTCCACAAATAACTGTCGCTATCCCGCTTTAACAGCAGGTGGAGAAGGGGCTGCCGCCGCGTCGAACGCGGCCTCACTGACACGCCCCATCATCCGCAGCGGACAACACTATGTACGATGAGCATGCTCTGATTAAAGGCAGTCGGCACGATAGTTTGGTACTAGCCTAAATGCTAGCAGGGCGCTATATAGTGGGGAAAATGGCGAAAAAACGAAGTGAAACGGTCAAAAACTGCGAAGAAAAGCCTTCATTCTTGTGACTCAAGAAAGCAATTCGGACGAGTTCCCCGTAGGCATTTTGAGGCAACCACTACGGTAGGTGCAGCTAAAGGTATGTACTCATATATCCATGCAGCACCGCAGCCGCTTAAAGGCAGTTGGCACGATGGTTTCCTACTTAGCCTAAAATGCTAGTAGGGCGCTGTATAGTGGGGAAATGGCGAAAGAACGGAGTGAAACGGTCAAAATCCGCGAAGAAAAAGCCTCCGTTCTCAGTGACTTGTAAATCGATTTCGGACGAGTTTCCCGTAGGCATCTTGCCAATCACCGCTACCGAAGATACGGCTGCATATGTGTACCCATGTATGCATGCAGCATCACGGCCGCTTCATACCAATCCCTTCGCTTCATAATTTGCTTAGCAAATGAATGAATACGAGCGTCAGGAACGGTCGTCCATTTGTGGGCGGGCGGGCGTGGCGGGCGTTGGACGTACAGTCCTCATCATTGCGGACCGGTGGGGCGTGTCAGTGCGGCTGCGTTTGGCGCGGTGCCAAAGTCGTTCTGCACCAGTTGTTGAAGCGGGCAAGTGACATTACTGTATTATATCCTTCGTATTACTCGTTTTCTACCACTTTTTGTCGCATACGCGTTTCAACAAAAAAGGCTGAGAACGGCTTCAACAGTGTGCACACTCATACTGGCTGTATCAGCGCCGCCACCGGCCCGCAATGATGAGGACTGTGAAGTTGTGGCTTTATAGGGCCCTCATAAGAGCACCTTTCCTCAGGGAAACCGCTATGCAGCACCTGCCCAGGGTCGCAGAATTTTATCCTGCCAGGAGTATTGATCCTAGTCGTCTTGGGGGATTTATCGTGCCAACTGCCTTTAAGAAAATCCTTGCGCGTTTATATTCACTTTAAAAAAAATGAAGGCAAATACGAGCATCAAGACACGGCCGTAACATTTGTGGGCGGCGACGCCGGTGGGGTTCGGTCGGATGTGCTGTAGCTGGATAGAGGTCTATAAGGGCAGCCTCCCCCTGGACCGCTAAGCGATGCGCCTGCTTAGGTCGGCAGAATCCGCCCTGCCAGGCATATTATTACTACTCGTCTTGAGAGCGTTTTCCTTCGCATTCAACACGATATCCGGCAGGATCCATTCATGAGAAAAGGCATCCAGAAGAGTAGAGAGGTTTCTTTCGAAAAAAAAAAAAAAAAAAAAAAAAAAAAAAAAAAAAAAAAAAAAAAAAAAAAAAAAAAAAAAAAAAAAAAAAAAAAAAAAAAAAAAAAAAAAAAAGAAAAACAAGAGGTGGACCACTCTGACGAAGGCTCGAAAATATGCAAGACAGATCCACTCATTATCAGTTTTCTAGCGCAAACGAAGGATTAAAAGTGTTATCAGCGCTCATGTAGCTACCTTCATTTGTTACATCACTTGAGCCGAACCATGAGGTCATCTTCCATTCTCCTCCCATGGGTTCGTTTTTATAGATAAAATTTTCCAAGTGAAAATTGTCGTAAAAATCACCCAAGCATCCCGTCTCACCGTTTCAACATTTAAATTTTTATTTTGGTTTGGTTGCCTCTTAGTTTATTTTTCGCATTACGAGGCTCATGGGCATTGGCAGAAATGCAGCTGGTGGAGCCAAAAACCGAGTCCTGATGTTGTGATCTGGAAGAAAGTGGGGCTCGCGAAAGAATGAATTACCAGGCAAATAGCTCTTTTCCGTTTAAACCCACTGTGATTCTTTTTACAAGAATACACTGAATAATTGCCTGACTAAATCTAACCTAGTTTTCAAAAAGATTAAACAACAATGGACAGGAATCAACAGAAATGGACAGGCTGGTTCCCCTTCCCGAGGAGCTGCGACAAGAGACCTTATGCTTAAACTGTATAGGGTATGATCAATGCAAAGGATAGGGCGTGTGACGCGCTGTGCAGCTAGGGCGCCACCAATGATGCCATCCTAAGCCCGCGGCTCGAAATCTGATCTGGCTGCGCTGCACCATTCCCGCGTCACACGCCCCATATTGTTTGCACGGATCATGGCTGTACAGGGGAGCAATAAAAAAAGACCGCTCATGAGAAGAACCCTTAAGTTTTTCGCACAGAGGCGGTCATGAACTCTACATGCAGGGCACTTTTCGTGTCTGTGTCTTTTTCCACGTCTCTTTTCTGAATTGGTCAAATCCGCGAGCCTGAAATCCTGCTCCAGCTTAACTCGTAAGGTCGAGCCGTAGAAAAAAATGGATGGACCACAGTGAAAAGCTGGACAAACGGAACATTTTACCAAAGCGGTAGTCTCCAAGGGAGCCTGCACATGTTTGGCTCACCGTAGAATCTGTGTGCTGGTTTGAACTGACGCGACTCTCTTAAGCCGTTTTGAGGTCTACGGTAATGACGGATGATATTATCTTGTCATGAGCATCGGGGCTGAGGTGAAATGCTAGCATCTGTTCCTAGAGGGGTACGGATTCTTCGCCACAGGTCTCGCATGAACATTGCTACCTGCTGACATTCAAACATTTATGAAATTTGATAATGCACTCAAAGAGCAGAGTGTCTTTTCTTACCGCCACCTCCTCCCCCCCTGGCCTGTACCGTGATGGAGCCAACTGCCGCTGCCCTGCCTTCGATACTAGGAAAAAACCACATTATTTCAGCTGGTACTTCCTGTGGTCAATCACAGGAAGTACAAGTCTACCTACAGTCTTTGTGGCAGCTGCACCCGCTAGCGATCTTGTGCTTAACCTACCTTCACTGAACTTCACGCCAAATTTCTCCAGCTACTCGGGCTATCTTGAAGCATCAAGCGATGATCAGTTTCACTATTGGTATGTGCTTTAATGGTCACAACATAATGTTTTTCCCATAAACTATAAAACGCAAATTAACGGTTGCTAGAGCCTGAGATAGAGAGTTGTGTCGGGGCTCAGCGTATGCACTATGAATGTCAACTACAAAACTGGCTTTACAAGCAGATTTCTCAGCTCAGGAGAATCTCTGAGTTGAGCTAGCTTTTGAAGGCTCTTTGGAAGTATTTGTTCTCCTTTCATATTTAGGCTTACCGAGTCACAGCGGAATCCTTCGTCTGATCCTCTTATTTTGTGGGCTGAATGTGGGCCCAGCTGCAGTCAAATCACTGGGAGTACTGTCGCATCCTCACTCGTTTGCTACGTTCTTAGCACACCAACGAATATACGTTTGTGAACATATTATTTTCAGGCCAAACAGACATTTATGTCTGTCATATGAGGGCCGAACAAAATACAATAACTCCTTCTCCGAGCTGGTAGCAAACACATCAGGGCTTTCTTTTTCCCCTATATCCCTTCCCGAGCTTCACTTCGTATTTCTCTGAACGGGATGTTCATGCACCTTCTTGTGATGCGGTCATAAAAGGATAAAGGATGGTCTTCCGTGATCCTGATCCTCGTCGTTGATCAATCCCTTTTTGGGATGCAGCATTATTCCACTCCCACTGAGAAGGCCCAACCGATTTAAAGCTGAGGAAAAAAACTTGGAACAATCCACAAAATCGCGTTTCAAACAGTTCTGAAGCTCTTATTCAACAGCAAAACGGTGGAAAGGTCAGATAGTGCAAATTCAACAAGGAAAAGCTATTCCTTGCTGTGAATTCGGTGCGCCCACTGCTGGACTTGATTAGAGAATTTATCATTCGTATGAATCGACTCAAGGCGCCTTCAAGGGTACCGACGGATATCCGACTCCAAATTCCCCAGAATGCATGGAAGTGCTCTCTCTTGTTGGTGCTTTTCTTTCCACTTGATTCATGCTTCAAGTCATCTCAAAGATGCCTGAACTAGTTGAGCTGCAGGCTTTTAATCGGTCATTTCGTCACCCGTATGCTGGCTGTGCCGAGACCTAGATTTCATGTGCTTGTGTGCTTGCTCAGGGTTATTTTTACAGATTTAAAAACATTGGCCTACTTTTGTTGTGATAACTGCTGTTCAACGCCGCAGTACGCGTTCCGAATTCAAAAATTCAGAACAGCTTCAAAAAAACTTGTAAAGCCTTCGGCCTTGCGGTTCCATGCCGATATCTAACGATTACGGCTGACCGGCTCACCAAGTTAAACGTGTGAGTGCTGTAAGGCTACGGCATAAAAGCCGTTAAGCTGAGAGGGTAAAAGCGGCCCTGGTGGCGTAACGGATAGCGCACTCGCCCGGAAAGCGTGAGGTGCGGGTTCGACTCCCGCCTGGGGCACGACTTTTGCCCACGACTCAACATTCTTGTGATAACATTGGCCTACTTTGTCTATATCCACAATATTTCGGTACACAATCAGGAAAAATCTAGTAAGGGTTTGACTGAAAGCTCCAATTTTATGCCTTGTTCCAACAAATTTTCCGCAGCTGGACAAGTCAGTGCTCTTATCCTCCCGGAAGAACGGGGTACCAATTTACCACTCTCAGAGAGTAGACCAGGCTTAACACCGGTCAGCATTTTGATCCTCGGTCGACAGTGTACTAAGCGCCTCTTGCAACTACCGCCAGTTCCACCTCAAAAAGATAAAGTCTTTGTATTAATAAATCCTATTTGTGAATGCGGCACTCATTCTACATACTTCCATTCAATATCACGATGGCTTATTCAATGAGATGTAGCCTATACAATGACCTTCGGGAGCCAGCCGATGTACAAATCAGTTTTCTTATCATTCTAGAAGAATATGGCCATCCCTCACCGGCAAGTAGATGGCTCGCCAGCTTAGGCCGAGTCGACCGGAGATTTGAACGCAGGACTGCGAGCATGGTAAGAAGCGCCTAACTCGCCACTAAACCATGTCCGCTACTATGCACACATGCAAGCTAATATTTTCCAGATTATTGAACTTTTGCAGGCTTATTTGAAGAGCTTGGTCCCTTCAGAGTGAAAGACTATGGAGCAACTGTATATCCCAACGAGTACTCATGGAACTTGGTAAGCAAATCTGGGTAACTGTATTCCACGAAATATTGATGCTTCCAGTTTGCAAATGTGCTATTCCTCGAATCGCCTTCTGGAGTTGGGTGGTCATTCAATACCCGTGGTAATGTGAATACCACTGATGACGAGGTGTCTCAGCACAATTACCAAGCACTTGTAAGTTCATAAAGTGCTAATTCCAAGAACATCGGTTTCACTATGTTCACCTACAGGTCGACTTTCTCCAAAAGTTCCCCGAATACCGGGGAAGAGACATGTTCATCACTGGAGAATCGTATGCCGGAGTTTATATACCGACACTCAGGCTTGTCAAGTTTTGAAGGATTAAAGACAATTTCCCCGAATTTCAAGGTTAGGTTCAATGTGATCAAATTATATAAGTTCAGTTGATGTTGTTATATCTTAGGCTAAAGGCAATGGTTAGGCTGCGTTTATACTTTGCGGCAGCGTAGCGTAGCGTAGCGCAGCGTAGCGTAGCGCTTCCAGCGTACGCCAGCGGCAGTGCCGAAGAGAGGATGCATATCGATCTAGCTTCACCAGCGTCACCAGCGGCACGCTGGCGTACGCTAGCGGCACGCTAGCGTACGCCAGCGTTTCTCCAGCGTTTCACCAGCGTTTTGCTAGCGTTTGCAGCGGCAGGGAGTAGAGACTATGGGAGAGCTGGAGGGTACAAAACACATCGATTGCGCGTCTCTCACTCGCCCTTAGTCTCTACAATGCACATCGCTTCTGCGTCTTCGACGGGCACATAGTCTCTACAATGCACATCGCTTCTGCGTCTTCGACGGCCACATAGTCTCTACAATGCACATCGCTTCTGCGTCTTCGACGGGCACATAGTCTCTACAATGCACATCGCTTCTGCGTCTCTCACGGCCACATAGTCTCTACTCCCTGCCGCTGCAAGCGCTAGCAAAACGCTGGTGCCGCTGGAGAAACGCTCGAGAAACGCTGGTGAAGCTAGATCGATAGCTATGCTTCCCGTGCCCTCGCTACGCCAGCGTGCGCTAGCGTGCCGCTGGCGTACGCTAGCGTACGCCAGCGTGCCGCTGGTGACGCTGGTGAAGCTAGATCGATATGCATCCTCTCTTCGGCACTGCCGCTGGCGTACGCTGGAAGCGCTACGCTACGCTGCCGCAAAGTATAAACGCAGCCTAACAATCTTGGTTATATGATATGTAAACAAATGTACACTCTTGTTCGCTGCGGACGCCATGACGTGTCATTGGTTGGGTTTGGCGCTAGCTAGATCGTTGTCCGTCAATCGTGGAAGCTGGCATGTGAAGACAATTGGTGAAAAACTTGACGCTGCATCAAAACTGCCCCCCCCTCCCTCTCCCACTGACACGCCTCAACAACAGTGTATAATTAAGAGTGGTGCAGCAGTCACGAAGAAACGGCTAGAACCTCTGAAAAAAAGCACTTTTCTGCCGGTCTATGCACAACATGAAGTTAAAGGCCGTTCAAAGGCATTCGTCACGATAATTTGGTACTTGGTCTGAAATGCTAGCAGGATGCTATATAGAAATGGCTAAAATGAACTAAAACGGTCAAAAATTAGCGAGGAAAAGCGTGCTTACTTTACGCCTCGAAAAACCATTTCGGACGAGTATCCCGTGGGCATCGTGCCAATAATCGCTACGGTAGATACGGCTGCACGTATGTGCTTATCTATCCATGGAGCACCGCGTCCGCTTTATACCAATCCCATCAGGCACCGTCGTCCATTTGTGGGCGGGCGGGCGCGGTGGGCGTACTGTTCGGTCGTACGGTTGCAGCTTGATACGGCGCACTAAGGATACCTTTTTCGAATAAGGATCTCAGGGGAGCGGTACTCCGTTCTGCAATTCGTATCTATCCCACTCGTCTTCTGGATTTATCGTGCCACTGCCTTTAATACTGATCGTCCTACAGCACCGGGTTGAAGACGGACTCTGGGGCGGAGTCACTGGGAATGGTGCTGTCGCTGGACCGACTTATTGTCTTAACGCATTCACCTAACAACTCTCTCCCGTGAAACTGGTGAAAGGTTGCCCACATAGACCCTTCCTTCAAAGACGAACCCACGATTGCATATCGTGGGCAGTGATGTTCAATAACAAATGTGTACCTTTTGTACGAGTCCGCCGGGCCTGCTCATTTCATGCCTGCAAAGCGATGTCCTGCCGCATCCCTCTCACTATTTATTTATTCAATGTTCCAGGTAGGAAAAACTAACTAATTAATCGTTTAATATGAAAAAAACGAAAAGGAGATTGAGCTCGCGGCAGAAAATGGTCTATGCATCTAGTGGGTGAAGCACTATAGCGTCAGAACCGCCACTGATGGGGGCCTCAGCGCCTTCTTTAAGTACGGTGAAGCCACGGAAATGGTATATGCTCAGAGTGAGGACACGAATACCTTTTCATGGAAGAGCCTGCGAATCGGTCTGGATCTATTCAATAATCCCTTTCAATCTGCGTTAGTGTAATTTTGATGAAGCTTCGTCAGGAATTTGATTTGAGTTCAGAACAAAATTCAGGAAACCCTATGTATTTTCATGATTTCTGAGAGGTGTTACTTTTAGGGTGTCGCCATTGGGAATGGTGCACTAAATTTTCTTCACAACTACGAGACCATGTTCCCGTTGTATTACTACCATGGGCTTGTCCGTGATGAGTAAGTACCTTTCGCGTTGATAGATTTCACCAAATACTTTGAATTCAATCTTCTGCAGACTTTACTTCAACTTTTCATCGACTTGCTGTGGAAATAACATCGAGACCTGTAACATCGTGACTATATTCAACGACCCACTCTGCTCTTCAATTGCTTTAGAGGATGTTCTCTACTATAATGCAGATTATTTGACCGTGAAAACTTTATTGCAGATATTCGATGCAACAAACAATTTGGATCCCTACAACATTTACAGCACCTGCTATTCCACAGGAACTCAAGGTAAAAAGGCGCATATTGAGCGGTCCCTGAGGAAAGCCGCTGGTGTACCACCACGCAAGGTGGCTATTTCTCAGCAGCGATTGGTGAGTCCGTGCATGCATCCGCGGCGTGCTTCTTAATTACTAAAGTTCCAGAATGTGCCTTTATGTGATCAAATCGGAAACACCGAAGACTACCTAAATCGCGCTGACGTACGAAAAGCACTGCATATTCCTTCGTCGTTGCCAAAGTGGTCGGATTGTAGGTAAGAGATTCCGTGCTGGTAGTCGATATAAACAAGACCAAAGCGTGGTGACTAAAGCACTTGAAAATATCATGGAGACCAGGCTGACGCATTTCGTCAGACCCTTCTTCATAATGTGTTTTGTTGTACAGGGGAGGGGGCAAGAAACACTGTGGCCGAGTCACATATCAATGACGTTTACGCAGCCCAGAGAAAAAACGTGGACACGATTACCCATCACCTTCATGTACACCAAAATATGAAGCCATCTCCAATCGCAGCCTGACTGGAGAAGACCTTGGAATTCACGTCACCTCCAAACAGCTGCGAAACTTCTTGTGTGGAGTCACCCATGGACAGCTACAATACCGCCCCTAATTTTTGGAAAAAAGGCGGATTAATCCGCCGCAAACCGCCCCAAAGCGCCGCACTGCCATAACTTCTTTCAAAAAGGGTTATGGGAGAAGCAACAGATATATTTAGATTCGTCTCTGCGTGGCGAGTCTAACGGTGTATGACCCGTCGAATTTCGGTAAGTAGGTCATCAGCTTTTTCCTGAAAACCGGTTAGATTTCGCTATAGGCTATAACTCAGTTTGTGTGAACTTTTCTCATATAGAATCCTACACGGTTAGACTGAGCTCGTCGAGCTCTATAAGATAGCATTCTGAAAAACTGGAAAAGTCGAAAATTTATCACTGCTCCCTATCGAAGTACCCGAGGATACTCGTTAGCGAGTCTCGCTATAATTGTAACCAGAGGGTAGTCGTTGGGAATTGAATCATTCAGGAATCGAATAATGTACTGTGTCGCGTAAGAAGTGATTAAAAATTAGATAGTTGTGTTTCCTAAACGATGCTGATCATTACGGTGCCAATTTTTCTGAAAATGGATGGGTTTCGCTCGATGTCATTTTCGGACAATGTAGCCTTTTCAGTCCGAAAAATCTCGAGCACTGGTTCAGTTCGGACCACAAGAGCACAGCGGGCCAAAAATATGGAGCCCTGTTTTCCACAAAGTTCGCGGATTTGAAAAATGAAGTAAAAAAAGAAGGGTTTTTAGCTAATTGAAATGATCACTTCGTGCAATAGTAGACAAGTACTCGATTTCCAGCGTTTTCAAGTAGGATTTCTAGCCCTCTGAGTGGCCCCATGAATTCCATAAAAAAGCTTCATACAGAACGTCTTGTGCTTTCTCGGAACATGGTGGAAACATTGGTATATTCTGGAGTGGTTGATGTTACCGGGTGCCAACTTCGAGACTTCATTTCAAAGCAAAATTTTCGTGTTTTCCATAGGAAGAAAATCCCAACCAAAGTTGCACCATTGGAATCCCCATGAAAAATGCTATCTATTCATATGAAAATCACCTCATGGAACTTCCTACAACCTCTCGCATTTTTCTGCGGAACCCCAAACTTTCGGCGAGTGCCCCGCCCACTGTGGGCGGGGCTTCCATAGGTCAAGTGTGCTTTTTATTTCTTGTCCCATGCCCTACCCATCCCCACCTTGACCGGACCTCTCCAAGTCGTTCTTCAGGTCGAACCGAATTTCCGGACAGACAAACTTACAAACAAACAAACTTACAAACAAACTTACAAACAAACAAACAAACAGACAGAGCGAATTATATATATGGGGTGATAGCGCAAATCTAAGTGGTTTCAGGAAAAAGCTCATGACCTGCTTACCGAAATTCGACGGGTCATACACCGTTAGACTCGCCACGCAGAGACGAATCTGAATATATCTGTTGCTTCTCCCATCATACTTTTTGAAAGGAGTTATGGCAGTGCGGCGCTTTGGGGCGCTTTGCGGCGGTCTGCGGCGGATTAATCCGCCTTTTTTCCAAAAATTAGGGGCGGTATTGTAGCTGGAAACCGGCACACTTGATCTGGAAGACCTCCAACACCGGGCAGCTCCAACAACGTCGCTGCGGTCCAGGATATCATCTTCACCGCAGTGGCCGAGGTGCCGGTTGATTGTGTGGATCAAAGGTTCCTAGAATGGGGGAGACCGATATTTTTTTGTGGATCCTGGAATGAAAGTGAACGCTGTCTGTTACATCAAACAGGAGAACATGAGGAGAATATCCTGCCTCCATGTCGTCGTATGTACCATCTTGGGGACTTCGTTGGGAAGGACGTGGCGTATCGTCAGAAATTATATGAAGCAGGCAGTGCTGCTTAATTTTTTCATGTGAGAGTGCCTTATTTGTTTTGTGGCCCACGAGTAACCTGCTAGGGCAAAAAGCGAGCAAAACACAAAGAAGCGTCGATGTTAAAAATGCTTATGCGAAGGGAAGTGAGAAAGGAAACGTGCCAGTGTTTAAATCCTCCATGTGTCGAGAGGAGGTCAGCGAGCGCGACTCCGGAGGTCGCCATGTCGAGTACAGTCCTCAGACCGTCTTGCGAAACACGCTGGTACGCTGCGCATGATGAGGGTCTCGTCCTCCAGAATGAACAGAGGCCAACACCATCGCTCGAATTTTGCAAACATTCGTAAATTTTGAGCGAGCGCGTTTACTCAGTCGCAACTTGAACACGGTAGCCTGATAAGATGGGTTGTTTTATTTGGTTACGGGGCTGTTGTCAACCAGACGTGCTCTCGCTGCGAGGGTCCAGGGTTATTTTCACGAGGCATCTACCAGTCCAGTAGTTGGAGGGAGAAGGTAAAGGAGGAGGGATCAGAGAAGGAAGGAAGGAAAAGAAGGAAGGAGGAAGAAAAAATGAAAGAGAGGAGAGGCTTCCCGGTTGACAAGTGCCCTGAGACGGTTTTATTTGCCTTGCAATTTTGTCGCCCGCGACACGTCCGGGAACAAACGCTGCAACCCTGGTAGCATTCACTTGCGATGAGCCCACTTTTTCATCATTCCAGCGTCGGTGCAGTTCATGACGCCAATTGGATCAGACTACCGCGGATTATCGTTACTAGTCGTAAGCAATCGGAGCCACTCAAAAATCTCAGTTAATTTTTTTACATTTTTAGCGATATTGTGGAGAACAACTATGGTGTAACCCACTTCGATATGACACCCGAGATCGAGGAACTCATTGCAGCTGGAGTGAAAGTAAGCTCAATTCATTTCGTTATCACTGTAATCAGTCAGGGCGGTCCCAGGAAGGGTGGGAGTGCCCGCCTCCCTATCTCTCTTCTATCAACAGTGATCGCCTAGTTATCGATTCACAACAATCATTTTGTGGGTTCTGAAATGGATGTGGAATATTGGAATGTGGAATTCCAGAATGGATTTTTTTCATGCGGAGTTTTTCAATGAGCTGGTATCTGGACAATGTTCCATCAGATAGGAGACTGATCTTACTTTCTGATGAAATCTATGCCCATCCAACATTTCTCATTTCAATACCGACAGCATAACGGTTCAAATTCTGAAAATACTCTTTATAGACTGTAAGGTCAAGCACGCTATCCCAGTCTCAAGTGGGTGCGTCGTAAGTGCTGCGCTTTGCCGCGCGCGGCGGAACTGAACATTGCAGCGACAACACTACTAGACCCCGATACGGGTTCTATAGGAAGCTGAGCACATGTAATCAAGATATTCATCAGAAACTTCCAAATTCTTGCCAAACAGCTCCCTAGATCTGGATATAGTAGGCAGCTTTCATACTTCGCGACAGCAGCGGCGATTCGATCGCCGAGGTCGCCGCGATCGTCGGTGCGTGGCAGAGCGCCCCAAACTAATTATGGACTGCTCGCTTAATAAATAAGGAAATCCAACTTGTGAGACCTTCTTTTCTTAATAATGGCTACTAACTGATAACTTACGACTTTCTATACATAAGCGGATCTGGAATATGAGGTAAGGAGGTTTCACTTCTTTTTAGGTCGGGATAAGGCCAACTCCATTTCCTGGGTGAGCTTCTTTTTGTTTTTTTTGTTTTTATTGTTTCAATTTATGCAAGCGCCTCAAAACCTATCGTCTGAACTGTTCCAACTTCCAAAACATTTATAGTTTACAAGTCGAGTTCAAACAACGAAGAAAAAAAGAAACAGAAGAAACTCACCTAGGAACCAAAACACTAATCATTTTACGCAACATCAACAAGTGAAAACTTTATAACCTTATGTACAATAGCTCAACGAATGAAAAAATAAACAATAAAACCTACCCTAAATGAAGCTCCCACACTTTTTGCTCATTTCTATCCTGAATCAAGAAAGAAAATAGAAAACAAAAGCCATTAAGTTGGGTTCACCTTTCTTTGTGTCAAACCAAGCTTCAGTACCTAAGAAAATTGCAGTTAAAGGAAAAAAAGCATGAAATTGAGTCGCTTCTTCCCAAAAGCCTTCGGAGCGCAAGTAATAGCGTTGGGGCGCGCTCTGCCATGTACCGACGATCGCGGCGATCGCCGAGGTCGCCGCGATCGCCGCTGCTGTCGCGAAGTATGAACGCTGCCTTAGGCTGCGTTTGTCCGACAGATTCACCCGTGTAAATGTGACGACTGCGTCCATTCTGGATCTACACGACGAGTTCCAACAAACTCTACATGGATCTCGCAAGAACAGTACACACTAAGGATCCTCTAGATCCTTGTCGACACCGTCTGCAGTCACGTAATGAACCGCCAGTTCTTAACGAAACTCAATCGTACCATCATAGTAAGCGTTTTATAAGGGTGCTCTTACTCGTTCTCGGTTTTAAGGGTAACATGAGTTTCAGGGTGAAGAGAGAGTAAACGAACCCTGGCACTATTTAGGCGAGAATCCAACTGTAGCCGGTTTTCAAATCAAATATCAAGGAGGTTTGTTAATGAAGTCGTATGTTTTGTTGCCTTTTTCCATTGTGTTTCAGGTGCTCACATGTTTAGGGCTCGACTTCCTCACGATACGCGGTAGCGGTCATTTTGTGCCAGGTGACAAACCACGAGAAGCACTGCAAATGATCTATAATTTTGTGTATGGTCATGAATACTCGATACCGGCACCGTTCTAGTTGCTATGAAATATTCACGTGCATTGATTCTATTTTGGAAAGTTCAACAAATTTTATAGAGTAGTCAACCTCGACAGCAAATTAGAGATGCCTTACTGGTTAAAGGCATGCCTCACTGCAAAAAATGGCCAGTTGTGTGGATCAAAACTAATGGCAAGATGGCGAATAACACAGAAGTTGAGAAGAAAGCAGAAAAAACCGGCCCGGAACAGCTTATGTAGAACCTCAAGGAACCGCGCTTGTACAGCGATGAAGGCGTAGCCGGACTATTTCTCACTTGTCGTGCCAGCTCTTTCCCCTTATTACCTCGCTCTCGCAAAGAGCTAGTAATGGAACAACCGCACCACCGGGAGGCCTCTAAAAATGAAAGTTGCCGTGGCCCGTGGGCGGGGCTCTGACCTGATCGCGAGCGGATCGCATTTTCTTCACGTCTTTTTGAGCGTGACAGCAGCGCATGCTTCATGCTTGCGGGCAAGACTACCAAGCGTCTGGGCATCAAATGAACGCGGAACATACCGTCGAAAACATAATTAAACACTTGAGAGGATTCGATCTGTTCCCTGCCGACGCCAAAAACAATGCTATCCAAACTAGAGTCGGTACCAGTGCCAGGTTCAGATTGACGGGCTGGCAGTTAAAGGGCAGTGAACATGATTGCTGGGGCGGGCGGTTGTTGCCAACGTAGTTGGTGGAAGGGCTACGAGAGGGCGTTTGGCTCCATCTCACTTGGTTCCTTCCAGCAAGCTT